GGATAAGAAGGAAAGTGTTTGGAAGCAGTCTCAACATATGCTTAAAACTAGAAGGCTGAAAATAAGTACCTCATCCTGAAGAGGTGATGCAGTGTTTGGAGAGGGATGGAAGATGATGTGATAGATTGAGCGAATTTTTCTCTCTCCTGCTGACATAGCTGATCTTGTTGGCATCCACATATGCCCTGCAATACAGAAAAGATTCTTAAGGGCAGTTGCTCCTGTAAAGGGAGTGTGGAAGTGGGATTGCTTTGCCTTCTTATTTTTGCTTTTTTTGTCAGTTTTTCTCCACAGATTCTGTCCCTAAGCCAGTAAGGTCCCTTCCCCTGTTAAAACCTTTAGCCTTCCTGAGAAGAATGGGTGAGAGGACTTTACTCCTTTCTCCGGAAGCAGGTCCTCTAAAAGAGTTGAAACAACTTCCGTTGTGTTGAATTATTGACAAGTACCGCTTCCAAACCTTAGTGCTTTGTATATATTTTTAGTCTCATGATGCTGACAGTTCTGAAGTCTGTAGCATTGTGTGCTTCTCAACAGGCTTCCTTTAACAGCTCTTTAGGAACTGTAATATAGTGTTGCTGACAAACTATATGCTGCATACTTACTCTAGTCGTGTCTGGAATTTCCTTCCCTGCCTTTTTTTTTTTTCCTTCCTATCAAATATACTTGAATTCTTCCTGAAGCAACACCCAGAACAGTCCCCCACCCCGATAGTTCAGACTCCTGAGCTGATTCGCAGATGCTTTTACTTTAGAGAGAGTTCCTTCAAGGCCACTCAGTCATTCCTTACAAATGCCTGGGATGAAAAGATGGTTGTTATTCTCATCAGCTCCTTATCTCCAATTTGCTTTTGCTGCATTAGCACTGTGATAGCCAACGGTGGGGAACAGTGGCTGGTCAGTCAGGAACACCTCATGGCTGCAGTTCAATACTGAATACTATTTTGAAATCAAAGACTTGAGTGTCATGTGATTTCCTACTTGTCTCATGCTCGTTGCCCTAAGAACAGAGGTCATGTGTGAAATTTGGTTTCAGAAACTCTGACCTATTCCTCAGTCTTGGATTGCCTGGCCATTAAAGCAGGAAGTGCTGCCTTAATAATCCAGTGGGAAAATGACAGTGGGGACAGACAAAACAGGAAGAAAGACTGCAGTAGGAAGTACTTGGGTATATTGAACCAAGTGGGAGTTGTGGGAGTTGTGTACCTGCACTGAGTTTCAGAGACACCTATATGTCATTTATCACCAATTCAGCAAAAACATGAGGAGGAGAGATTAAAAGCTTTCTTCAGATTTGGATAGAGGAAATGTTTAACAAGTAGACACACTTCCAGTAAGGCTGGTAAAGAAACCACGATAATCCAAGGAAAGGGGAACAAGGGATAAAACAAGAATAATCAGGCTAATGAATCTCTGAAGTTTAAAGGCGGAAGATTGAAGAAAATTATTAGCTGGACCGTTATTGAAAATTAAGCCTCTGTGTGTAGCAAAATCAAGGAAACACAGTATTTTAAAGCTAATTACAACTCCTGAGAGCTCTAAATATTATTCTAAGCTAAAAATAACTGTGTGATGATGCAGTCGATGCCTATCCAAGTTTTAGGGTTTGAAAAACAAACTGCTTATGATCTCTTCTGGCCACTAGCCTGGCAAACATATGGAATACAAATGGAGCAAGATTGGGTTTTTTTCTGTGGTTTACATACAAACTCACTTGCAGAAGCAGCAGGCAAAGCCAAGAGTAGAAAACTGGCCAAAAGAAGAGCATGTTCAGTTCTGCAGCATGGCTGGTTTAAAAGAAAAGCTGCTACCAACCGAGAGGCTGAGCTAGAAAGCTCATCAGGTATGTGGAAACACTGTGAAAATTATTAGTTTTTCAAGTAGAGGCTCTTCAAAGTTTGGGTTTTTTTCTAAATGAAGAAATGTCTTGAATACCAGTGCTGAACCTCTTCCAAGTGTGAATTTAAAAATGTTTTTCTTGTAAAATGCCATTCTTTCTTTGATGTGACCAGTGAATTCCGCTGTGACCTGGAAATTAAAATTTTTCTATTAGCTGCACTTTAAATACATTCTTCTCTCTGAAGCATGCCAATGAAAATGCTGTCCTGAGTACAAAACAGAGCAGTGTACTCAAAGTCATTATTCAACCTACTTGACAACAGAAGCACTCAGCTTCTGTGAGCTGGAATGTATTAGAGGGGGGAAAAAAATCCATGAATTATGCTCTTTTTAGCTGTAACACTGAAAACTCTGCTCTCCTATGTTCTGTGGATAAAGCTGCTTTGCTTTGTGTCTTTTTCAGATTAATTTTCAATGCTGGTGTGTGAATAAGTCAGAGAAGCATTGACTCTTTGGGCCATAACAGTTAAGACAATATTTGCAGTACTTCCAGCTCGTTTGTGTTAGGAGTCAGAATTTCTTTGCTGTGAAGAATACACACACAGTCCTGTGTTCTGCAGCATGGCAGATGCATCCGTGAGCAGTTTTCTTGTTTTAACTCCCTGCCTGATGAGTTATGGCGGTTAAATCAAGTTTTCTGCCTCATCTTCCTCCTAAAGCAGTAATCCCTGTTGCTTCTCTCTCTTTTCCTGTTTCATGCACCAATGTCTACAGCTGCCGCCAGGCAAATTCTACCTCCTATATTCGCATTCGGTCCCAGAGAAGTCCCTCTGTCTACAGCAACGGCGAGTCTTCACCAAATGGCAAAACTGATCCAACACCTTGCTGAGGCAGTCTTTCCCTGTCTCTCTTCCCCACCCCCCAGCTGCCTGATCCCATCTTTCCTTTTTTACTGTTCAGATGAGCACCGGGGTGAATACAAATAGGAGACATGCAAAGCCATTTAGATAAGGGAGAGCATAATGCCCCGCGGGCTCAAGCCAAAGCTCTGGCTAACTCTGAGAGCTGCAACAGGAGACGTTAGTTAGGGGGAGCGTGCGAGCCTGGCCATGATCTGTAGTCTGCTCCCGCCGAGCCCTAGTGCCCGACTGGCTGTATTATGTACTTCATTCCCTTGGGTGATGGCCTCCCATTTCATCTGCGAGCAGAGGAATATTTTGTTAATTCTTCTGGTTTACCTAGTGAAATGAAGATAATTCACCCATGGACTTTAACCGGGCCTGTGACTGAGCTTTAATTCAAATGCAAGCTTGTCAGTGGCATTGTCACCGACTTTAAAGACTGATAACAGCTTCATAGCAAATAAATTTTACTATTGCTTTCTTCATCCTACTTTTATCTGACCTTGGAGGTCAATTCAAATGAACAAAGATATATGTAACTGCAATTACTACTCCCACTTAGCTACATATGTGGCCAGCCTTATTTCATAATTAGTCTGTTATTCCTGTTTATCATGAAGTTGATTAAGCTAAAGTAGAACAAGGTACACTTATTCCAGAACAAAAATCTATGTATGTGGAGTTAGTCAAGAGCAGTTATTTTGGAATTCGCAAAAGCCATTTAGAAAGCTCTCCCTGTTTAAAAAAGACCTGTATCTCCCAAAGTATACATGTAACATGTTAGTTACTATTTTTTTGTTCTCTTTGTTACCCCTAAAACTGGTTTCATCCAGCTCCAGGTCAGCATTTCTTTGACTGATCACTGGTGAGTTGTTTATAGCCATCAGGTCTCCAGTGCCAAGCCTGTGCCTTGCCTGTTATCTTCGCATGCCTGTACTCCTCTGCACATCTTGTGTCCCCACTTCTCAAGGCCTCTGCTAGTGCACCAGGCCTGTATTTCTCTACACTGCATCCTTGTGCTAGTCGTAAATGTCTCATTCTACGTAGAATAACTGTTTGTTACTGCTATTCATATGAAGTGATGGCTGTACCACACACGGATAAACAGAAGTAAAACAAATGAGCCATAGACCTGGTCAATTATGGAAACTGCTGTCACAGCTAACCAGGTAAAACAAAGGTACAGAAGGGTTGAGAGAAGTTCAAACAAAGCAAGCCTGACAAGCCTCAGTCCTGAGGCCTTGCAAATTCAGTGCAAGGTTATGGCAAATTACTGAGAATGGCAATAGGGTATTATAGGGCTACATGGTTACAATTTTTTAGCCCCAAAAGCTGTCAGCAGGTAAGAGCAAAGCTGTACACACTACCAGATAATCCATCGGGTTTGAGCAATTTTTTTAGAACTGGATATGCTGGCATTTTTTCTCTTTTGGGGTAGAAAACACAAGAATGCAAGAATTAGAGTCCCAGTTATCCGACCTTTTAAAACTATAAATTAGCTCAAAGTATATTGCATATGTTTACAAACAAAATTGTATTACATAGTGAATGGTAGAGAACAAGTAATGGCAAGGATAGTCAAGGCCTGAAATTCTCTGGTTCTTTCTCAAAAAAAAACTCTGATAAAAGAAAATCCACAGCCTCCTCAGGCAAACAAAACATCTGCCGAGTTTAGCTGATTCTGCTTTGAGCTATATAATCTCTTGATGTCCCTTTCAGTCCTGTTGTTCTCTATTACTAGTTTGCTTTTCTTACGTTAAGTAAAAAACTCCTTGTGCATTCTCAAAAGGAAATGCTTTTCTTACTTCCTTTGTCTTTTTGATAGACTCTGCATGTGATATACTGATGCGTGTCTCCAGGAAGCCTCTATATTTTTTTTTATTAAATATAAAGAATTACTTATTTCACAATCACCTATTAAAATGATCACCAAAAAAATGAAGCTTATGGTGCTTGGACTGCTATCACTTACTGTATTTGCATAGTTGACATACTTACAGATTATTTCTTTTTCATTTAGAAAAATACCCATGCCTGAATTCTCTAGTCTGTGTTTTGATATTAATAAGTTATCTTTGGCATCTTTTCTTCTCCAGTAACATCCAACCTGTTGTGGTCCTGACTTGACCAGGCACCTCTTTAGTATCAATGGGCACAGCCCTCTAATTCATCATTTCCTCCAGAGCTGCAATGCTGAACCGTGGTCTGGACAGGACATCTTGATACGCAGAAGGGAGCTCTCTAATCCTATACCATATCCTTAATGACTAACTCAAGGTAAATGAGAGGTTGCAAAATCTGTGTCTTTTTAATGCAGGATCACTCCCAACAGTGTAATATTGAGTATTTTGTCAAGGCTTTGCCTAAGGATCTCAAGACTGGGGCCGAGACATCACTCAAGTCTTACAGTACCATCTCTATTTCTTCCAGTAATTCCATTTTAACAATGGAGCCCTCTTGTTACTCCAGTCTGAACGAAGACGCTTGGCTGGTCTGGTATTTTGCCAGGCCTATCCTGAGACCCATTGTATGCGTACAGCTTTTGCAGTTCATCTTAGTTCTGACCAAAGAGAAGGAAAACATAGGCAAGGTTGTTTCCTTTATGTAAAACTTAGACTCTACCCCAACATATGCAGACAGAGTTTCAGGCATATTCACAAGATGGACACGGCATTCAGAGAAGTGTACCAGAGACACTGCAGATAAATGAGGGATTTGGACTAGAAGGGGCAGAAAGATAAGCAAGAATTCCTTAAGTACAAACAAATTGTGTGGATCTGTCCTACTGTGTTCTAATAACCTGAATTCGGTTCTGCTACTCTTTTCTTTTGCTAGAGGTATAACCCATTAGCTAACAGTGGTTTTCAGAAGAGCTTTCAGGTGCGGAGAAAAGAGGAGCGAGCTGTGATGTCTGCAGTTAGTATAAATTCCATGGGGCACATTAAAGCAGCATGGCTTTTCTCTGAGACTGACTGAGGTGGAATCTGTTTGCCTGGCACTTCCTTGCAGAAAGGTTTTTGTCAGATTTTCTTTTGGAAGCAGTGATCATTAATTCTGCTGTGAGTAGCTACAGTGAGACGACAATGCAAAGCTATCATGATTTGTGGATTTGGGGATGTAATAGCTACATTAACTTCCACAGTGGTGCTGAACTCTCACTCTGTATATTCCTTTGCTCTAGGAGACAGAAGAAAGTTTTTACCTCGTTAATACTTGGATTGTCTTTGAAATATTCAGTATTCTTTCTCTCTCTTCCTCTCTCCCCCCCAACATGTATTTTCAACTTTACAGGGAAAAACCCCAAACGATTGCTGCTGGAGAAGGGAGAGCTGAAGAATATGAAGAAATTGCTGCATCTTTGCCCAGAAGCATTCTGCAATTCTGGGAAGATTTCAGGTGTGTCACAGTTTTAGTCTGGGACCAACTGTAAGTGAAATGCATTCCTATGGAAATCAGAAGGCACAGTTCTTCCAAAACATTTGACATAAATGTACACTCATATCCCAGGCTGAATCTTCATGGGTTATATTCTGGAAGGCCAAATTATCAGATTATTCTGTCCTGGTTTAGAACAGGCAAACTGCCAACTTGAAAGTTCAGAGAAGGCATTGGCTTTTATGTTTGACTCTAGTCCATTTGATCCACATAAACCTGAATCAAAACCAACCAACCAAAAAAACCCCATGTGACTTCCCTGCTGCAACCACGGATTAAAATGGTTTGTGAGGATGAAAAAATCAGCTGGATACTTAGTATTTTTATGGCAGTGGTTTGACTTGGCTCTTGTCCGAATTGGTGTAAGATCTCAAGTGAGAAGAAACGCACATTACAGTGGTGTGTCTTACTGCCAGTGCCTGACCTGCAGCTGGAGGTGCACTGGTCAGCAGCAGAGCCTGTAAGAGGGAAGGAGCGGACTCTAGGGTGCCTCGACTCACGTGGCTGGTGTGTAATGTGATGGGGTATGTGGGGTTATTGCACAAAGCCAGCTGGAAGCTGAATGAGCAGTTAATGATCACACAACATTTTGAAGATGTAGAATGTAATTTATTGCCCAAAGTAGCACTTTGGGGTGGGAAATGATCTTCAGATTCTGTGTATTCATTGAGACCTCTGAGAACAATTTTACGAACTAGAAGGATGACAGAGGGAAGGTTGTTTACAGAGGCGTTAGCTGCTGCAGAGCTGTTCAGCAGCACCAGAAGGATCGATCACTCTCTGCATGTGCATTCTGTTCTGGAATAAAAGCATACTTTGTGAAGGAATTTGTCTTTAAAGGACTGTCTGCCTAAGTGCTCTTCTGGAATCGCTCTTGCGGAATAATATAGTTTTCAAAAGCAGTGCCAGCCAGTTCCTCTGTATAGACAAAGCCTTGGGCACCCAGAGTTAAGACTTTAGGTACTTGCATAAATTGCTTAATGTCTCGAATGGGGACGCTGTGAGCAATCCTGCAGTGTACTGATGATGGTTAGGTGGTTAGGGGCTGTGGGTTTTGTTGGTCGGTTTTCTGACTTGGCTAGCACTGATGACAGCCGTGTGCACTCTTAACCTCCCACCGGTGGAGCATGGGGAAGTTTTCAACAAGCACTCTGGAACAGGCTGAGATGCTGCTCCTATCCCTTCTGCCATTTGAAACCTCCCACCCACCAGGGCAGCGGCCCCGAGGGGCAGCCAGCAACTCCTCCTGCTCACAGGAGTACACCCACGTCTCCTTTACATGCAGTCCTGTACCGACTGTGCTACCAGAGGCGAGCTAAAATGGGTGATTGCTTTCCAAATACCGTCTCCAAGAAGACTGCAGACTTGTGTAAGTGTTCATATCCTAAAAAGCACCTTTTCCATAGTTTTAAAATGGCAGATTAAGTCATGCGTGTGACTCAGCCTCATTTTCTTGTCCTGTGACTTCAGGCAAGTCACTTCTCTTCCAGCTTTTGGAAACAGATGCTCTCTGACAGGTTTTGGTCATCCAATCCAAAAATGCCGTGTGCCTTGTTTAGGAAGACGTGCATGTAGCACCCCAATAAAATAAAGCTGAGCTGTGTTGAAGTGAATGCCCTCCAAACCAACGCCACTCCATGTTTTTAATTAAGTCTGTCTTTGCCAGCTATAAAATAAGTGTAATCAAATATTCCTTAGAGATGGCAAATATAGCAGTTGATAAATTTTAGAAGATAAGTAATTGAAGACAGTAACTCAACTGTATTTCAGCGCGGGAAGGTAAGGAAAGGGGCAGTCCCCATTCCTGTCAGGAGCCTGCGCGCCTCCCTGGCGGCGGCGGGGACTCCAGCGCGAGCGGGCAGACAGCTA